CTGCAGTTCCTACTATCTCCTTTTCTAGCTACAACTAGTTCTGAAGAAAGGTCATTGGACCTGAAACATTAACACTGCTTTAACTCCACAGATGCTGTCAGACCTGCCAAGTTTTTTTTCAAACAATTTCTGTTTTTGTTTCTGATTTCCAGCATCCACAGTTCTTTGGATTGTTTCACCTCCTGCTGAGTCTTGTTATCTTTGTTACTGGGCACTGGGCATTGTTGGCCCAGAAGGAAAAACCAGTAAAGCTTGCAAATCTCACAGACAGGCCCTCCCCCTTTTCTGAAGAAGGGTCTAGGCCCGAAACGTCAGCCTCTCTGCTCCTATGATGCTGCTTGGCCTGCTGTGTTCATCCAGCCCTGCACCTTGTTGTCTCGGATTCTCCAGCATCTGCAGTTCCTACTATCACAGACAGGTCTGACTTGTTTTGTATACCTTACAAAAGTGCTCCAGTACAACCAGTACATTTGATGCTCTGAGCTACCACCATCTTGAAGTAAGAAAAAAGAACAAAGAAAATTACAGTACAGGAACAGGCCCTTCAGCCCTCCAAGCCTGCACCGACATGCTGCCCTTCACAACTAAAACCCCCCTACCCTTCCAGGGACCGTATCCTTCTATTCCCATCCTATTCATGTATTTGTCAAGACACCCTTTAAAAGTGACTATAGTATCTGCTTCCACTGCCTCTGCCAGCAGCGAGTTCCAGGGACCCACCTCTCTCTGCATAAAAAACTTGCCTCGTACATCACCTTTAAGCCTTGCCCCTCACACCTTAAACCAATGGCCCCTGGTAATAATTTGCTTGTTCTTTTGTGTTCAACTTTTACAAGTATAGTATTTAATATTTTTACTTAAAAGAACTAACGTATTTGTCCCAAAACTTTGACTTTCCTGCTCCTCTGATGCTGTGCTTTTCCTGTGCTGTGCACCTGCTGTGCTTTTCCAGCCTCCTACATATAGACTCTGGCTTCTAGCAGCTGCAGTCCTTATTGTCTCTGTATTTAAAAAAATCACTTGATCAAATTGGACACCCCTTTAAAGCTTGCTGCTCTAGGCAACAATCTAGTTTGCCTAAATAGTCAGACTGATTCTCCCATGACTGATTTTTCCTTTTTTGATGTCACCGTGTGCAAGATATTTGTGACCTTGATCTTTCCATGCATGTAGCAATTAGCACAATCTGACTCTTGGTGGCCTTCATTATCCTCCTTGATACAGTTTTTAAAACTATAGCACGCATAATGGTTTCATTTCCATATTGTTAACTTGCACATAAAAAGCCCTGTGAATGTTCCTCTACAGCTGAATGAGGAATGACTTCCTGTAGCATCTTCAACTCTACTAGTGATTTTAAGATGCCTTTCTGATCAAAGGTTAATGAATGACAGAACATAGCTGGAATATTTGTGTTCAGATCTGTTGAAATTTATTCACCTGTATTTTGCAGTGAATACTTCCCTTCAGTGCTAAAGCCCTTAATTGCACTTGCACAAAAGTATTTCTCACTTTCTGTTTCGATTGCCTCAGTTGGATGTTTATGTGGGAACAAATACAAATAAATGGGCCTCTTCCATTTGCACTGAGTATTCTCTGAGAGGTTTTTATTTTGAAAAGCATTTTAGAGAAAGACGATGCTTGTAAATTTTTCTTTTGAGTTGTTCACCTGCTACCCTCCCCTACTAGAACACATCCCATCCCCCTCACCTCCCCCCTCTCCAGCAAAAATACAAGTTGCTCATTTTTGGCCAGCAAGATTGTGCCTGTAAAAGCATTTCCAGTGGATTGGGCTGTTAATGGTCATTCACAGAATGCCAATTAATGCAAAAGACCCTAAAGGTCAGCAGCATCAGCCCACCTGGAATGTCTGAGAACTTATAGAATCATAGAGCTGCATAGCATGGAAATACACGCTTTGGTCCAACTTGTCCATGCCGACCAGATATCCTAAATTAATCTAATCCCGTTTGGCCCATATTCCTCTAAACCCCTCCTATTCATATACCCATCCAGATGCCTTTTAAATGCTGTAATTGTACCAGCCTCCACCACTTCCCTGGCAGCTCATTCCATACATGCACCACCTTCTGTGTGAAAAGGTTGCCCCTTAGGTCTCTTTTAAATCTTCCCCTCTCACCCTAAACCTATGCCCTCTAGTTTTGGACTACCCCTCCCTGGGGAAAAGACTTTGGCTATTCACCCTATCCATGCTCCTCATGATTTTATAAACCTCCAGAAGGTCACCCCTCAGACTCCAACGCTCCAGGGAAAATAGCCCCAGCCTATTCAGCCTCTTCCTATAGCTCAAGCCATCCAACCCTGGCAACATCCTTGTAAATCTTTTCTGCATCCTTTCAAGTTTCACAACATTCTTCCTATAGCAGGGAGATCAGAACTGAACACAGTATTCCAAAAGTCACCTAACCAATATCCTGTTCCGCCACAACACAACCTCCCAACTCCTGTACTCAATGCACTGACCCATAGAGGCAAGCATACCAAACACTTTCTTCAGTATCCTGTCTACCTGTGACTCCACTTTCAAGGAACTATGAACCTGCATTCCAAGGTCTCTTTGTTTAGCAACACTTACCATTATGTGTATAAGTTCTGCCCTGATTTGCCTTCCCAAAATGCATTCACATTTTATCTAAATTAAACTCTATCTGCCACTTTTTGGCCCATTAGCCCATCTGATCAAGGCCCCATTGTACACTGAGGTAACCTTCTTCACGATCCACTACACCTCCAATATTGGAATCATCTCCAATTGAACCACTGGGAAACTGAATTTTTGCCTCCCAGCCAATTAACCTCCTTGCCCGCCCTTCTAAAAACTCTGGGGTAGACCTAGAAGATCCCACTCACTGAGTCAATGTACTTGAGGGATAACACTGAATCAGTGCACTGGAGCACTGAATGAGTGTACTGGAAGAGCAACACTAAGCCAATAATACTGGGGAGGTAACACTGATTCTGTGTACTGGAGGAGTAACACTGAGACAGTTAACTCATGATTAACACTGGTCAATGTACTGGAAGAGTAACAATGAGTCAGTGCATGTGTGGAGTAGCACTAACATAGCGTACTGGAAGAAAACCCTGAGTAAGTATACTTAAGGAATCCATCAGACAGACTATAAGACAGACAAATGAACAGAAGGAGGCCATTCAATCCATCTACACTGTTCCACCATTCAATGACAACATGCCTGATTTGATCATCCTCAACTCCACTTTCCTGCCTTTTCCCCATTACCTTTGATTCCACTATTGATTACAAATCTATCTCAGTCTCGAATATATTTGACAACACAGCTTCTATAGGTAAAGAATTCCACAGATTCACTTCCCTCTGAGAGAAGAAATTCCTCCTCATTTCTGTCTTAAATGGGCAATACTTTATTCTGTGCTCTTACAGAACATACAACTGTACAGCACAGGAACGGGCCCTTTGGCCCACTATGTTGTGCTGAACATGATATGAAATTAAACTAATCCTGTCTGTCTGCCCTTGGTCCATATCCCTCCATTCCTTGCATATTCATGTGCTTATCTAAAAGTCCTTTAAATGGCCAGTCATATCTGCCTCCACCATCACCCCTGGCAGCATGTTCCAGATTCCTACCACTCACATTTTAACCCTGGGAAAAAGATTCTGACTGTCAACCGTTTCTATCCATCTCATAATTTTATAGACTTCTATCAAGTCTCCCCTCAGCCTCCACTGTTTCAGAGAAAACAACCCAAGCTTTTCCACCCTCTCCTTATGTCCTAGACTCTCTCACAAGGGAAAACAACCTTTCCACATCTACCCTGTTAAGTTCCCTAAGAATCTTGTATATTTCAATAAAGTTGCCTCTCATTTTTCTAAACTCCAATGAGTACAGGCCCAACCTACTCAGCTTGTCCTCATAAAACAGTCCCTCCATACTTGAGATCAAGCTTGCGAACCTCCTTTGGAATGCCTCCAATGCCAGTAGCTTTCTTTCCCTAGATAAAGAAGAGAGTTTGTTTAGATAAGCGAGTTTAGCTATGCTCCATGTAATCGACAGGGCGGATCAAAGCAAACACTGATAATTCCAGCCATAATGTGCCATACTATAAATGTGCGAAGTACATACAATAGAGAGGAAGACATGTGCGCCTGTTCTGAAATGGAATTAGTTGATATAGGGTGATACTTTCACTCTCACACCTACCTGTAATGTGCAGACTTTCATAAAGACCGTGTGTAACTGAATGTTTGAAACACAAGATATTAGCATGGGTCATAAATAGCAAGGTGAGAAAAGGGGAGAAGTATTATGTTGTCCCAGTCTGTATGAATTCCCTGAGTTTGTCCTGTTGAGCTATTATGCTTTTCATTGCATGCTCACGTTTAGCTATATTGCTCCCAAGGATATTAGTAGAAGCGCTAAAGGGAATAGTTGACATGAGTTTGTGTTTGTGTGTTTGTCAAAGGGGCAGGACTTTCAGGAACAACATTGTTTCGCTTGAGTGTCCAATCCTCTTTAACAATGTGACGTCTGGCACTGTCAGAATAAGGCTAATCTAGAGCTGTAGGGCTGGGCTACAGAACAAAAATACTCTCTAATGTACACCAGCTCAGAAGAGACGAGAGAAAGGGAAAGGAAAGAGAGGGAAAGAGAGAGAAAGAAACCATCCATTGTCATAAATTTACAATCAAACATAATGTATATTGAAATATCTTACTACAGTGCATTTAGAAAGCATTTATTTTATAAGAGAATTTTTTAAAAATTGTACCAATTTATAAGTTGTTGCAGTTTTATATTGACCCTACAGCAGTGTGAAGAAAACTTACATTCCCTGAACTGTTTCAAGAGTATTTCTTGGTGTTTGTTGATCCCGAGTGGTGAGTTCACAGTAGTAGGATGTCAAGGCAATATCCAGTTTGATTCCCTGAACACCATCTGCCTTCCCCCGTGAACCGTCCACTTGAACGCTTTGAAGATTCTGGAAGTCACTTTTCCGAAAGAAGGGAAATGGACAGGCAGTGTTATGGTGGATTTAGTGACTCAGAGCACGACTTTTACCGGATCGATTATCGGACAATTGTGGGAGAGATGGACCCAACTCAGCCCCGAGGTGATCGGTTCACCCCCGGGGTGGGACATCCGAGTGGGTCCCACCACGGGCATGGTCATGAGACAGCAGCACAGCGATATACTGCCACCAGAATTCAAGCTGGCTATGCACCTGAAAGGTAAGGTGGGGGGTAAGTGGAGGGTCTAAATATTGCTCAAAAAACAATTGACAATATCAGTAGAATCTGAATAAGAGTTTTAAGAACTTGAGGTACTGTCAAAAATAAAACTACTTTTAAGTACTGTTTGGGGGGTAGTGGTTGGTGAATGGGGATGCAAGAGTCAGCACTCCTCAACTCCATGGCCACTAATGGCAATAAGATTGCACACATGACCTAACCGATATCAGATAATTTAACACAAATCTGGACTTGAACCTGTGAGCCTCCCAGCCTGTATCCCTGAGGTGCTTGCAGCTTTACTGCTGGTGCCATCAGTACAGCAAAGTCCTCTGATCTGGGGAGAATCTCCCTTCACCTCTCAGAATATAGCTGTCACTGTCAAAGAGAAAGGAAAATTATTGACAAATTACTAAGACATGAAGTACAGTAATTGTAAATATCAGTTCAAATCTACTAATCTGCTATTATTTATTCTGTTTTAAGATTACTTTATCTCATTACAATTAAACATTGTTGCAATAAATATTACCCATTTCTTAATAATTAGTCAGTGGTGTACATTTTGTGAGGCTGTGAATATCTAGTACAGCAATGTTAAGTTCCCAGTGTACATTTGAAAACAAAAGTAATTGCTATTGTAAAATTAGATTTCCTGTATTGTGAGAATCTGACATCGGTACTGCGCAGGCAGTACACACTAAATTAATAACTAAGTTTCCCAAAAGTAGTACTTCTCATTGTACAGTAATGACTGCATCTAGTATTTATTAATTAAGAGGGCTGCTGTTGAGCTTTTGTTCAGCAGGGTTGTAAATACATTATTGCTGCCTCACGTATGTCAGTAGCTGCTTAAATGCCTGTCTTGCTATTTGAAGTCACAGCATTGTCAAGAGGCATTTTCCTGTCCTTCATATTTACTGCTTCAGTAACACATGATTGTGAAGTAATCTGTATGATCCTGAGATTCAGGTACCAATTACTGCCATTGATTAAAAGGAAGCTATGAAGGATTTGAGTGAAAAAGTGAAATGGACTGACAGAAATGAAAGAGTGTGGAGAGATGAAATACATGTGGAGCAGAGTGGGAACAGGTGTGAGAGTGTGCGGAGATAGGTATGTGTGAAAGTGGAGAAAGTATGTGAGACTGCGAGAACAAGAACATGAGAGAATGGGAAAATGTGTACGAGAGAATGAGAATGTTGAGACAGTTGAGCAAGGGATTGGGGACAAGTAGCAGGCTGCAGACCAGCTACCCCGTAATATTGCTTTACTAATAATCCAGATTAATCCTACTGTGGTTTCGAATCTCACCGTGACAGCTGGTTGAATGTAAATTCAATTAATTTTTTAAAAAGTCTTGGAATTGAAAGCTAGTCTTAGTAACAGTGACAATGGGCAGAGTTTTGTTGTGGTCTTGTGGTGGTCAGAGTGCTGGCAAGAGAACCATACTGCTTCTTCTTGGCAAGGCCCAATGAACCTCAAGCCAATTCAGCAGTGATGATGCAATCAGGAGGCCTTTCACTGGAATCAGGTCCCAGGGGAAATGGTCCTGCTTAGCAAGAGGTGCTGGTCAATTAGAGGGAATATAGCACTTACACTCAACAACACTGCTATAGAGGTCATTGTTGCTGCCCAAAGGACGCCATTCTGAGACCAGACCAGGTCACAGGCAAGTAATGGCAGAGGAGTTAGGTTTTGCATGGTGGGAGTTGTGGGAGGGTATTGGTAGCAAGGGCAGAAATGGCTCTTAGTGAGCTGGCTTGCTCTTTCCTATGTTCAGTTCTCAATCATGTGCTAATTGACTTTGATCAAGGGACCCTACATCAGAAAGTGGTAGGGCAATCCCTGTGTTAGCACTATGAGGTCTTTAAACTGTCAAAGACAAAATAATGGTAGCTTTCCAGGAAAAAATAACTTCCAAGTAAAACATGCGAATGATACATGTCAGTCCAACTTGTCTTTAAACTTCTAAATGGGGTTCCAGAATGACAGATACATTCATTTTCAAGATGCCCAGATGAGCAGTTCATTGAATATTTTCAGGACAGTTTCTTAGAACAGCGTTTTCTAGAGCCAGAGAGTATTCTATATTAGACCTGGTATTGTGCAACAAGATAACTGTGATCATGAGTTATCACACCGATCCTTCTCTCCATCTTCTTTGCCACAACACTGCACCCTGTGTCCATGAAACCTCCCAATGGAATTAGGAAACTGCTCAAATTGTTGTCTCCAATTTAGAAACAAGGTCATTCCAACCTCTGCTGTCAAACTGCAGTGTACAGATGATGCTTCTGTGTGCACACTCAGATGCCAAATTCCAACCTATCATCACTGTATTCAGAGGAGAATGGGCCTTAGGCAAACAGCTGGAAGACAAAGATCCTCCACCAACCCTATCCTGCCACACAACATTGTCCATTGACTATCAAGATCCACGGCAAGCCACTGAACAATGTGGATTAATTTCCATATCTTGGCAGCCTCTTCTGGGTGAGGGCAAGTATCAACATTGAAAATTTAACATTGTCCAGTGTGCAGTGCAGCATTTGACCATCTGAGGAACTGCGTGTTTGATGACAATGGCCCTAAACCAGACACCAAAATTGTGATTTGCAGGCTCACAGTGGTTGCCTGTCCTTCTGTATGTGTTGGAGACATGGACAACATATAGCAGATACCTCAAATCCCTGCAGAAATATCACCAGTAGTACCTCTGCAAAATCTTGCAAATCCGGTGGCGGGAAAGATGAGACAATATCACTGTCCTCTCTGAGGACAACATCCCAAGCACTGAGGCATGTTGCATTGCGAGTGCCACATTGTCTACATCCCTAACATAAAACATCCAAAATAAGGTATCTAACCCCTAGACATATATGAAACTCCTGCCCAATATTGCTCAAATCAGAGTAGAAACATGCACAAAGGCGCTAGCCATCTCAAGCATCTGTGACAGGCCCAGGTGGAGGCCAAGACTAAACAGCAGAAGGAGTATCCCACCACTCCACCTCCTCAAACAACACCTGCCCTGTCTGCAGTGAGTGTGCCAATCCAGCACTGGATTGCTTAGTCACTTAGGATCCATAACACCGGTGTGGGAGAAAGTTATCCTCATTCCCAAGAAGAAAAAAAGATGTCACCATAATAATCAGGCCGAATACAAGTTGAACAAAAACCGAAATTGCTGGAAAAGCTCAGCAGGTCTGGCAGCATCTGTGAAGAAAAAATCAGAGGTAACGTTTCAGGTCCGGTGGCTCTTCCTCAGAACAGTTCCGAGGAAGGGTCACCGGACCTGAAACGTTAACTCTGATTTTTTTCTTCACAGATGCTGCCAGGCCTGCTAAGCTTTCCCAGCAACTTCTGTTTTTGTTCCTGATTTACAGCATCCGCAGTTCTTTCGGTTTTTATTTAGTATTTAACTAATACAAGTTGAGTTTTTTTGTTATTCATTCATTCACAGGCTGAGGGCATCGCTGGCCAGACCAGCATTTATGACCCATCCCTAATTGCTCAAAGGGAAATTAAGAGTCAACCACATTGCCATGGTCTGGATGTAGTTACATGTAGGATGTAAGGATGGCAGTTTCCTTCCCTAAAAGACATCAGTGAACCAAATGGGTTTTTCAACAATTAGCAACAGATTCATGGTCATCATTAGATTCTTATTTCCAGATTTTTATATAGATTTCAAATTCTACCATGGCAGGATTTGAACCCCAGTCCCAGAACATGACCTGGGTCTCTGGATTAACGGTCCAGCAATAATACCAATAGGCCATCACCTCCCCATTTATTTGAGTCAGTCATTGGATGTTCATTTGCTGGGCCTAATGTCCTGCTTCTTAACACAGAAACGCAAAGATCGTTATCAACACCTCAACTGTCTGACATTGGTAATTGCAGGCCAGAATGAAAATTGAACTTGAGGCTTCTGTGCTCAGTACTACACTAAGCGGTCCATTTGTGATCTGAATCTCTCTGGGAAGAGCTGGTCAATGAGGACTCCAGCCTGATAAATACTCTTTAGTTGTCCTTCGGACATAAGATGGGAGACAAGAGTCGCATGCCAAGAATCTCTGCTAAAATTTTTCAAAAATGGGTGGGACTAGTGTGAAAATTGGATGTCAAATTATAGTGTGACTATAATGAATGTTGCAGGAAATATTTCCTGAAAGTTTTATCATATCAGTGATTTAAAGCTGATTTGACAAGATAACAAATATGATGTTTTCCCTCTGCAAAGTCATGTAGGACCTGGCTGAGATTGAATACAATTGCCTTGAAAAAAAACAAATTTTGCTTGGTTTAATTACTGTCTGTTTTATGTCTCTCCTGACTTTTACTTACACAGAAGTCAGTGGAATTAAAAATCTGAAGCAGTTTCAAACTTAGTCCTGCAATCTTTGGATCATCTCAGGATATGATACAAACACAGTAATGGCATGAAGCTGCCCAGCCAAGCATGAGCCATGTGCGGGAGTTGGCTTGGGAACTGCACTGCAATTGGTGTCTCATTTCCTGGAGGGGCAGTGATGGCCTGAAATATTCCATTATCACTTTTGATTAAAGTAGAACTGCTCATTGCTTGGGGCAATTTGCAACCAATACCCATTTGTACACAGTTTTCAGTATTCCTGCTGCTTGATGCATGTTTGACCTCTTTTCCTGGGCTGTCTGTAGGTTGGATATTAATCAAAGTAAGGTTAGGTAATTCCTTTGCTTGGACGCTCTCCTCTAAGATAACAACTCCAAAGGAATTCAGTGGGTAGTAGGGTAATCCCAGCTTCCAACCAGTTAGGGAAAAACAACACTCAAGTGGAATTATTTAAAAGAATACAGATCTCACAACCTTTCTTACACACAGATATTAGAAAAGGAAGAGACCATTGAGCATAAACTCTGCTTCACCATTGAATTAATTCATGGTTGATCTATATGTCAACTCCATCTACCCACCTTAGCTCTGTAGAAGACAGAACAGCACCAGGTCCTTTGGCCCACCACATGTGCTGAGCATGTCCCCTGAAAAATCAACTGATCCTAATTTTGAATGCCTCATTGAATCTCAGCGTGTCCATATGATATAGGTACACCCACAGTGTTGTTTGGGGGAGAATTCCAGGATATTGACTGTTAGACAGTCAGGAAACAATGATGGTTTGCTTCTCAGCCTTCTGCAGAAAATACATTTGCTGGACCTTGGGGTTAAAGCATGTGAATAAGATTAGACGAGTTGACCTTGCAGAGTGCTGCCATGGACATGGTGGACTGAGTGGTCTCCTTCTATGTTGTAACCATTCTATGATTTGGCATCCACAGCCTTTTGGGGGTGACGGACACAGTTTCAAACTTCCACTATCTTTTCTGAGAAA